TTCTTTCTTTCTTTCTTTCTTTCTTTCTTTCTTTCTTTCTTTCTTTTCGTTCTTTCTTTCTTTCTTTTTCTTTCTTTCTTTCTTTTTCTTTCTTTCTTTCTTTCTTGTTTACATTTAAAAAATTATTATGGAAGTCGCTCTCTTCCATGCTGCTAGTAATTTCTCTGACTCTCTAGAAAGCATTATAGCCATTCGTTCTCTCTTGGGGTTGGGGGGCTGGGGTGGTGGGGAGAGGGGGTGCGAGGATCCGAGGGACATTTTCTAGTTTTTTAACATATTTAATCTCCTCATGGATATCTCAGTCCCCAGGGGAATTTCATTTCCGTGGCAATGTAGCAATGTAGCAATGTAGCAATCAGTAGTTGCATTTTTTATTAAAGGTAATATTTAAATGTAAGCTCTCAGAGAACAAAGAACTTGTTTTCACCAAGGATGCTATTTTATGAGAACTCTTGTTAGGTCAAGATTAATTAATTACAAATTACCAAATATATTTTTTTGAGTAAAAAGCGCACATTATACACTTTGCTCTTATTCGTGCAATGGTTTGCATAATATCAGCGATAAAAAAAAAGTTTTAAAAACTTATGTAATTGGTATAAATCATATTTTTCGCAAAGGCTGTTGCATATTTGCATAGTCTTTGACAATGTCAGCACAATCTATTCAGCACTTAAGCTGATTCTTTCTTTCTTTCTTTCTTTCTTTCTTTCTTTCTTTCTTTCTTTCTTTCTTTCTTTCTTTCTTTCTTTCTTTCTTTCTTTCTTTCTTTCTTTCTTTCTTTCTTTCTTTCTTTCTTTCTTTCTTTCTTTCTTTCTTTCTTTCTTTCTGTTAATCACTATTCAATACCAATAGTGTTAAGTTTTTGTGATGTTTAATTTGTATTTATTGTCATGACTGACGTTTTTTGTATTTTTTTTTTATTTTGTTGTCTTTTTGATTGAGCGAAAGCCACACTAGCTTTAATGGCTACTGCAATCTACCCCCGATGGAGCACAGGCTCACAACCAACTCATGCCAAGTCAATTAATCCTTCGCAATCGCACGGAGTGCACCCCATGTCCAGCCTATCTTTTCTTAACTTCTGGTCGTGATGGTAGTCGGCTTAATTTGCTACAGCAGCGACAATATATATATATATATATATATCTTATATATATATATATATATATATATATATATATATAACATATATATATATATAATCGAATCTCACCATACCTGTTAAAAAGTCACCATTTCGTCTTGACCCTGTCCGAACGTCCGATTGTTTGTTTGTTTGTTTTAGTATCCAGAAGCCATGAGTTGTTAACCCTTAGGCTCGGTATTATGGATGTCGCAACCTTTCGGCCTTGATTCAATTGTAAATACCGTAAATCTGGGAGAAAATGTGGCTTTCCTGCCTACCCCTGTATTGAACCGGGACCACAAGGAGTTCGTCACCCGGTCTTCGCGCAATCCGGTTTAGCCAGCTACGCTAGGGAGCCGGGCGAACGTCCAATTAAGTGAAGCAGGTAAAGATCGAGGCCTTTATAAACCAGTCGGTCCACATTCTGAGATTGTCTAGGAATGGTAACGGGCCGAAACAATCGTCGACGAGGGATCTTTCTACTGATGATCGGTGGACCCGCTGCTGTGCATGCTTCCCTGTGTAGTTCTTCTGCTTATAACTTTCTTACCTTTATTTCTACGCCTCTGTAGTGTCCAGTGCAAAGGCGGAAAGTTGCGGGTCTGAGGAAAAGCACACTAAATGTATGTGACAGCAACAACGGTACTGAAATTCCACGCCTCAAATGTGGAAGACTTTTCTTAGCGCATTCGGGTCTTGCTAGACACACTCATTGTAGCCACGGGCTGTGAATCCCGTGCCTCCCCATTCCACATTATAACACTAACACCTGTCTGCTTCTGTTTATACAACATATCAACATCATGGCACACAGGTGGTAACCCATAAGTGTTCCGTTCTCAAGTCTGAGTCCGAAGAATCTCAGCGCAGTGCACGAGCTCTGAAGCACCGGCAAGGATCCTGAAATCCTTTTGTAAATTTGTAATCCCAAATTTTGCCCCTGCATCGCTATCGTGTATTGTTACACTAACGCCTAGAAAGACAGAAAAGAGCCAACGGAGATTGGTGTTTTAGCTGTATCGTTTATTTTCAATGCTTAGCTTAGGATGAGCTACAAGATTACACGTTTTTCTTCCAGTATTCTTGTTATGACACCAGTTGTCCCTGTGAACGGTGAACGATCATGGATTACATTCGAACGGACGCGATCAGCGATAAGTGCACAGATGAGGATATCAGCGAGGGCTTCTCAGAACCCCAAGGCTCGGTACTGTGGTCAAAGAGGTGAGATTATCATATACATTATTATATGTCCAAACGATGTACTTATAATCTATGTCTTTGACATGTATGTCATATAACATACCCTTACCATATATGTAATAGCACATAATACACCTTCACAATATGTCATAAGGTACACTGCTATATAAAACAATCACTTTAGTATTTAAAGAGCCAATGAAGCAAGGGCTTGGTGAAGCAAGGGTACACACGGGCATTCATGATGTGTTAAATGGTTGTGAATGTAAACACTTGATCCAGTTAAAGTTGTGAAGTAAGGCGTGCTGGATATTTACAGGTGGGCTGTGAAAGTAGGTGTTGGAGAAACAAGTGAGATCCAAGCAGAATTGACAGCACGTTGGTTAATCCGGTTGTAGCTTGAGTCATTTGTTTTCAGTCAGTCAGAGTGTGTGGACTTTGTTGTGGGACAGTTTTAACAATATATTTTTTTTTGTTGGAGCTCCGAGTGAACTGTCCGGAAGAAGTGGTGGATTATGAGTTGGACATCAGAATGCCTTCGGAGTCATTTTCTAGAACGGACTTGTGTCAACCCGTGTATGTGTGTGTGTGTGTGTGGGGGGGGGGGGGGGGGGAAGGTTGGGGCAAAGTTGCTACTATGTGGCACGCGGGTTAACGGGGTGTCTTTAATTGCTACAGAAGGTGATGTGGTCACGTTGTGTGTGTGTTGGCCAACGTGAAGTTGTGATGGGCAGGTTGATCAGTGATACTCCAGTTTTTGTAATGTGTTTGTACAAAATAAAGAGATTGATCGCACTAAAAGATCATAGTTGGCGTGGTGTAGCGTATTACAGTATTCGTAGATAATGTTAGGGGTTACGATTACGAGAGGCATGTGTAACCTGTGCAAGATATATGGTTGTTAACTTGTGCCGGGCTTATTGTGGTGTTCATATTGTTGTTGGCATCTCTTTTGCTGAATGAATCAGACAGTTGTTTTGTCGTCAGAGGAAGCTCTTGTATGTGACCAAAGACTGTTATACACCCTGGACACTTAGTAGGATGCGTTACATCTCAAAGAACGCATCTAGCATAAACCTTATTTTTAAAATTTTAACTTCGGTTGCGTATTCTGCGTACGATGCCACACTAACAATATATAGATCAATCAGCATTCAATGTATGATGGGGTCAAAATCACATCGGCCACCTTTACTTCCCAGGACATTACCTGGTACTCGTTTAGACTGGATCGATCTGTGAGTCAAGTTTAAATTTTAAAAATCTGTTTGTCGTGCGTTCAAATCCTAATAGAGGTGGATTTTGAAAACTCAATTAGTTCCAGTTTCGGCACACCATAAAATATTTACCTGGAAATGTTCTTGGAAATAAATGCAGCCCATTTATTACTGGTTATTTCACTCTTCAATTGACGATTGGTCTAAACAATATGGAATCAGCATAATGTAACCAATAAGTCTTAGGGCTTGAAAACAGATACTTAATTATTTTATTTTTATACAGTGACAAGGTGTCAGTGTAGTGCAGTGATTAGTACGATTGCCTGTCCAACATGTGGTAGCGAGTTCGAATCCATTCTGAGGGATATTCACTATCATCAATCAGTAGGTCCTTAACAGAACGTCGTTCTCGTCACGGCACGCCTGAAAGTCTCTCTTTCTCTAGCTATTTCCTAAGCCCTATGTGCTTTCAGAGCCAATGCATCTTCAATGTCTTCTCTCCACGCTCGCGAAGTTCTGCCTCTGTGTCATTTTTCCAGACACAACCTTTAATCGCCGTTCTCTCTAGGCCACCATGACGTTCAACAGGGCCAGAACACATCGGGACAGGATGCTGTTTACGTGCCAAGTCTCCTCGACGTTCAAATCTCATAGGACGTCAGTATTTTTATTCTCCTTGGTCCGTGGTATTGTAAGAATTTTTCTGTGGCATTTCAGTTCCAAAGCTCCGACATATTTCTTTAGGTCTACGTGGCCTTAAATAGGTGCAAGAAAATGGTCTGAGAAGTAAATGCGGTCGAGATCATATTAATTACGTTTGTCCTAAACAGACATAGTATTAAAAATCAGTACAAGTCTATTTTCCAGGGCACCATTTGGATTGGGGAAGAGGGTGGAGGGATAATGAATCCACTGTCTTCTAATAAGCATGTCGTATGTCGCCGTCTAGCTGTAAACCGCAGTCTAGTACGAAAACTACTTTTTTAATGGCAAACACACAAAAAAGAAGAAAAAGAAGAAGAAGAAGAAGAAGAAGAAGAAAAAGAAGAAGAAGAAGAAGAAGAAGAAGAAGAAGAAGAAGAAGAAGAAGAAGAAGAAGAAGAAGAAGAAGAAGAAGAAGAAGAAGAAGAAGCAAAAGAAGAAGAAGAAGAAGAAGAAGAAGAAGAAGAAGAAGAAGAAGAAGAAGAAGAAGAAGAAGAAGAAGAAGAAGAAGAAGAAGAAGAAAAAGAATGAGGAGAAGGAGAAAAGGAAAAAAAAACTGATTTTATCAAGCTAATAAAATTGCTCCAGACTTGATTTCCCCATTTTCTTTTTTCGGACAGCTTGACACTATATTTTTTACAGCAAATGTTTTTATCTTCTACAGGTCCCTTTTATACCGTTTCAGTTTTCTAGCTTTACTGCCATTGTTCGCTGTCTTTCTTCTGGGATTCAGCAGTCCGTTTTGGATGAAGAAGCATCAGGTAAATACTGATAATGTTTGTCAGCTTTGCTCAAAGACGAAAGCAGACCAATTTATTATTATAAAACAAATCATAAAACAAATCATTTACAAACAAGCAGTATTACTAGTCAGCTTCCGAATAAAATACAGCAAGGAAAGACAAAATGAACGTTTTAGCCTGAAAGCATTTACTAGTATACAAAAACACTGATAATGATTCATCCACAAAAAATACTACATGTAATATTGTTCGTTCATCACGAGTTCTGAAGACCACTTTCATCCAAAGTATTAATGATCAATGATTATGAGTACGAAGGTGGCTGATTAGTCCAGTATGAGCAAGGAAAGTTCTTGGTCAGTGCGGACAACAGATGGAAGCCGCGGTAAGTGTGAGATTAACAGTACGATTCTTGCTAGTCTACCTCCGTTTCTTTGCCTGTGCAATCTCCGCTTCCTGGCAGGCCAATGCACCATGCATTAACGCCATCTGAAACGGTCTTGCGCAGCAGCCTCCCACGTCGCTGTGTTGATACCAAAAGAATTTAGAGCAGCCTCAAGAGTGTCCTTATAGCGCCTTTTTTGTTCTTGCTGGGACCTCCTCCCTTGGTGGGGCTCGCCATAAAATACTCTCTTTCCCAGGCGATATTCTGGCATGCGGGTTAGGTGACCAGCCCAACGCAGCTGATAATTCTTCAGTATCGTATGGATGCTAGTCAGGTGTGCCCTATTAAGAACCACAGTCATAGGAACTACATGTAATATAACTTACAGGGAGGCAGAGGTAGCAGGGAAGAGAATATGCCGTACGGTTTGACATGATGTCATGGAAGATCATCTGTGTCAGAAGTGATTGAAAGTACAGGAGACAGACGGTTGTGAAAAGACAAAACGACCAACGCCACACGGCATGGACTTTGCGAAGAAGAGGAAGAAGAAGAAGAAGAAGAAGAAGAAGAAGAAGAAGAAGAAGAAGAAGAAGAAGAAGAAGAAGAAGAAGAAGAAGAAGAAGAAGAAGAAAAAGAAAAAGAAAAAGAAAAAGAAAAAGAAAAAGAAAAAAAGAACAAAGAACAAAGAACAAAGAACAAAGAACAAAGAACAAAGAACAAAGAAAAAAAAAGAAAAAGAAAAAGAAGAAGAAGAAGAAGGGGAACGAACGAAAGAACGAACGAACAAACTTTATTTTTAAAGGGTTGAGAATTGGGCGTGCAGGCCAGTCTAACATTCCCCCTTCGAGGTCTCCCTCCATTCTTACATCATTTCATTCACACATCAAGTAATAAACATTATCAAAAGCATTAAAATATTCAGTACAAGCACTGGAATGTCTACATTTCTAACTACAACAAACCGTAGTGGTTGTTATAAATCTAGGGAAAATGGGCGCTATTTAAAAATATAGGGAAGGAGAAGAAGAAGCTGAACATAGCTTTTTGGATAAGGTTAGCTGGCTGTCATTACGACAGCAGGCTGCTGGCCGTAGCCTTCAGTAGTCAATCAAATGTAGTCAATCTTAGGCATTACATTATCTTCCAGGTATATTACATAATCTTAAGTCTCTCGCCCCCTCACCTCGTCTCGAATATATATATATATATATATGTGTGTGTGTGTGTTTGTGTGTGTGTGTATATATATATATATATATATATATATATATATATATATATATATATATATATATATATATATATATATATATATATAAGATTAGCATCTCTAGGTTTTGATAGGAAGAAAACATGGTCGTAAAAATGTTACTTTAATTATGTTTCAATGCTCTGGGGTATTGACAGGTGGACAAATATCGAGGCTACTACAACATTCGGGAAAAAGTTGACGTCAGCATCGGAATATGGCGCGTCTGCGAGGGGTCAGATTTCTGGGACATCACAGACTGCACGGACATCCCAGACATAACCAATTGTAAGTTGCCGCTGATGAATGAGAAAGTAATCCCTGCACTTTCTTTTTTTTTTTTTCCTTAAATTGTTTATGAAAAATGTATTAAATTTACTGAAAATATAGCTCATTATGTCCTTTAAAAATTCTTATTTTCAATATAATCGCCGCCAACTTTTATGGCCTTACGCCAACGCCAAACAATCGCTCGCAAAATTCTCGCCCTTGTTTGTATCAAGTTCTGCATCTTTAACTCACTGAACCCGGTGACGATACGTGCTCCTGTCAACTGCAGAGCTTCCATACACTGCACTTAAATATTTATGAGTTTCTTTTATGCAAACCGAAGTAATTCGCTATATCGTCTTTATTTAAAAAATCTGAACATCGAAGAAGATTGGCCAATAAACAGTATCTTGTCTCAGAGGCTGAAATATTTAGGTCATATCAATGGCGGAATGGCAAAAAATAATAGCATAAATATACCATTTCTTAGGCATTTTTCAGCGCTACTGTAGCGTGGACACTGTAATGTGTACAGGTACCTTATTTAGACACATTTGAAAGAGAAAGAAATAAAGAGAGAAAGAGAGAGAGAGAGAGAGAGAGAGAGAGAGAGACCTGATGGTATCTATTTTTTTTTATTAATAATCTATTAATTATATGATCCATTGACCATCTAATAAAAACTACTTCAGCTGTAAGGTTTTCTTCTCTTCGCTCAGATATCGTGATTTGCCAGGTGATGCTATGTCTGTGCCTGATATTCATCGTCTCATCCCTTATCTTTGGTTTCTACGAGAACTGTGCTACACGATATGATATTGACGAAGGCAGCGAAGTACGAACAAAGCGACCAGAAATGAACGCCGTCATAGCAGGTTAGTGTGTACTGATATGTAAATAACCAGGGCTGTCAGTCTGTAGCATGTCCTATGCACAATTTTGCTCCCATATCAACCCTCCGGAAAACTTCTCGATCACAAGCAAGATGTCCCACGTCCGATACACCCACCTGGAGATCATCCACCACAGCCTGCACCCATCTTCTCTTTGGCTTTCCTCTTCCTCTGTTTCCCGGCATATACCTCTCCATTAATGTTCTCTCTGAACTTTCAAAACATTTTAAATGACCAAAATATTATAATTTTCTGTGATTTATCGTCTTTAATAGCCAACTTTCTTCAATATTCATTTCTTTAAGTACGGTTGCATTTGTTCTTTTCTTTACCGGTGATATTTTAGAACCCTTCTATAACATTTGTATTCAAAGACATTTATGTATGCACTGTTCAGCTTGTTTAGTAAGTGTAGCGAGGTCACAAACAATGTATTACACAACATATTCCCTGACCTATTTTGATGATATCGCCAGACGCATTACTGATGCAGCGAAATATGACAGGCAATAAACTAGGCAAAACATTCTTTGTGACGTCATTGTTTTAATTTACGAAAGAAAACAATCTCTCTCTCTCTCTCTCTCTCTCTCTCTCTCTCTCTCTCTCTCTCTCTCTCTCTCTCTCTCTCTCTTTAGAGCGATAATAAATTCATTACTGTCGCAACTTCTTATTCTTTTTCCTGGCTCTTCTTTGCGTTCACCGCCTGTAAACTCTATCGGAAAGTTCTGGTAGTTCATCCACTTCTGGACTGCAGTCCTGTTCCAGAACCTGAGTGTTGAGTGTGCATCCGTTTTACAGATCTGACTTATTTGTATGCAGACTGTTGGTACCTTGCCTCTCAAGCAGATGCACTCCCACTTCTAAGGAGAACGCAACGTTTAATGGGGCCTTTTGGACAGAGCGTGTCAGAGGGACCCAGGATAAGCTTCGTGACTACCGTAACGGTTCTATGCACAAGGCCATACCATACTTCGCCAAAACATACCAGTCTCTTTGTATAACACACACACACACACACACACACACAGAGAGAGAGAGAGAGAGAGAGAGAGAGAGAGAGAGAGAGAGAGAGAATGGGAGAAGCCAACACCTGTCATAAATTTCGGTTAAACAAACGTTAGTCTTCCCAAACAAAGTAGGTCACGTTCCATTCATAATTTTGTTAGGCTGCTCTACCTTCATGCAGGCTACGGGTGCGCTGCTCTGTGTTTGCTTTCTTACTTGTCTTGCATTTACATTTTTATTCCGAGAAAGAGAATGCCTGTGACATAGGGTTCATCACTCTCTAAAAGGGTTTTGTGTTAGACCCAGTTTGTCGATGTTTTTATAGCATTAAAAGCTCTTGCGTGCTGAAATATGCAGCAGGCAATATCAAAGGCATTGTGGGAAACCCGTTATTTTGTGGCAAGTAACGTGGCTCAAGGTCGACCAATCAGAAGTTAGCTAGGATGAAGTTCAATCAATCAAAAATGAGCTAGTAAGTAACACTGAGTAAATGGTGAGACTAACGTTTGCTTTACTAACATTTCTTTCTCTTACAGGTCTGTTTGGTTTGACCGGAATCTGTATGTACGGAACGTCAATCATTGAGGCCATGAGAAACGGCGAGGGGTCGGTTCACTGGGCTTTTCTCGTGACAACTGGATCAGTTCTAGGGGTCATCGTCTGTGGGATCATCATGGCCATTGTCAACCCAGTACATTCGGTATGTCTTGACATTGTTCCAGAATCTTCTATGTTAATCATGTATATTCAATATCACTACTAACAATTTTTTTTTAAAACAAATTTATCGTCATCATGAATTAGCAGGTACTTTACAGACTTTCACTGTCTCTTTCTATAGCCAGTTCTGCAGCTCTATGTGCTTTCATAGCCAGTGGATCTTCAAACTCATGCACATTTGCCTTCAGCTTTTCCCTGAAGTATAGTTTTTGTAAGAGACATTTCACCATTGTACCTATCTGGGATGAAGACTCCTCAATACTGACGCTAGGATATGTCTCAGCTGTGTCTTTTAACGTGGCCAAAATATTTCACTAGTCTCTTGTCTATTTCATTCAGCAGATTTGTGTGTGTGTCTGTGTGTCTGTGTGTGTGTGTGTGTGTGTGTGTGTGTGTGTGTGTGTGTGTGTGTGTGTGTGTGTCTGTGTTTGATTTTTAAAGAACCTATATAATTTATTGTTTGTTAGTTCTTGGTATGCTTTGATATATTTTTCTACAATATTCTTCTTTAAACCAATGTAAACTCCTAGTTACTATGGCATTTACGTCTAACTTACGCCCAGTGATAATACTGTACCAAAACTCGCTTTCGTGCAGCGATTAACATTCTTATCTAGCCAGCCTGGTAGTAATTAGTTCACGGAAGTATACAGAGCTGCAGTAGTTCAGGTGATGCTGTACGTTTGTGAAACATGGACTGCGTACAGACGTCAGGCAAGGAAGCTTAACTCACTTACAGTCTGAGAAAGATTCTTAACATCAAGTAGCACAAGATAGGGTCCCAAAAACTGTCGTAGTGGATAGAGCTGTCATTCCAGCATCGATACTATCCTGATGAGGTCACATATTCGATGGGTAAGTCACCTAAATCTCTTGTCGGACGATCAGCTCCCAAAAATATTATTTTATGGTGAGATACAAGAAAGTAGACGATCTCATTGGCAGAAACGAAAGGAAAAAAAAAAGGCTTCAAGGACACGCTCAAGGTATCTTTAAAAGACAAACCCGGACACTTGGAAGGCTAGCGTCCAAACGAAAAGGCACAGCTACTTGGGAGGTATGTAGAAAAAGGGCAGTGAACGGCGAGGACAGGCTAGAGAAACCCCAATCGCAGGCCATTTATCTACAGGGAGCTGCGGTGGTGTTGCGGTTAGAGGCTCACCTGTGGATCTGAAGGATGTGGGATCAGGGTGCTGTACTGAGGGTGCTGTACTGAGGGTGCTGTACTGAGGGTGCTGTACTGAGGGTGCTGTACTGAGGGTGCTGTACTGAGGGTGCTGTACTGAGGGTGCTGTACTGAGGGTGCTGTACTGAGGGTGCTGTACTGAGGGTGCTATACTGAGGGTCCTGTACTGAGGGTGCTGTACTGAGGGTGCTGGACTTGTGTGTGTGTGTGTGTGTGTGTGTGTGTGTGCGTGCGTGCAAAATGACCTTGAAGTCGGATATTTGATTTTACCGCGGTGCCCAGCCCACAAAACTCGTATTTAACATACATGAACGTTTCCCTAAAGGCACAAGATGTCTGATAGTACTTTTGACTACTATTTACCATCACCGTGGTGTAGCGACTAGAAGCACGGATATGAATCCGAAGGTCGTGGGTTAGAATCCGAATATAGCTGGACTTGTTTTTTCTTCCCTTAAAACATTACCTTGGCTCTCGTGTCGATTCAGTCTTTAAAAAATACCAGGTAAGGTCCCAAGAAGTATAGATAACTGGTGTGATGCTGACCATATCACCTATCGAGTACCGATGGTCTATCAAATATAGGTCTATCCCTATATGCCCAATATTGAAGGCGTAGGAAAAGGTCCTCCACTTTACCATGTGCCCAGTACGTCTGAAAGCGTAGAAAAAGGTTTTGTCGCTAAAGATCAATTAGGGTACTCTTCTTACTAAAGGTTGTACTCAACTAACAAACTGTCACTGTCATTGATGTTTATTCCTAATAATTATTATTCTACTTGTATTACTCATATTTTCATTTTGTTTATTTCTGGTAGACTGTAGAGACGTTTCCAGGACAGGTCATCAGTCTTTCCCGCCAGAATTCACTGAAAAACAAACCACCTACCATTCAAGATCGGCTTGTGTCTTCTGGAGAGTGTGTCATTCAAATCAACGGTACCCAGACTTCCGGTACAACCTATGGAGTCACTGACAGTAATTTTGACTTAAAAGAGGTAGCTCTTCTGCAGGGAAGCGAATCTAGTCTGACTTCAAACGTATCCACACCAGATAAGTTGCCAGCCGCTTCCCGCGAGTTAGATCCTTGCAGTAGTAACACAGGGACACATGTTGTTGACACAAGGGATATTCATGCGCGTTTGCATGATATGTCGCTGAAAGTCGAGCTGATGCAGCAACAGAAGAGAGCAGCTAACAGCCGTTCTCGGCAATGTGACGCTAGTCTTGACCCTCATATTGTCAATGACTTGTTTGATAACACCTTCGATGATATTTTGACTTCTGATGCTAGTTCCTACAGCGATAATGAAAACTTTAAGTTACTTGAACATCCACGGAAGGATGAACATGTATTGCTAATGAATTCCGATGGCCGATTAATAAGCCAAGCTCCGAAGTTTAGACCTACTGAACCGGTTGATTTGATGATTCTTGAGGAGTTTCTTGAAAAGGCAACAGCCAACGAACCCATACCTGGGGCAGTGGCTGAAGAGACGTTATTAGGAAGGAGAACGTTTAATAATTTTCTTGAAGACAGCGCAATTGCCATGCCGCGTGTTTTAAATGAGTTTCAGCGTAGTACAATTAGTAATAGTTCATGGGAAAGTCAGCCGTGGCCAGAACCACCACCAGAAAACGAAATACTAGATCAGCCATTACTCATTGTGCCTACAAATAGAAGTTCAACTCCCGACGCCTCAGCTTCCAGTTGCTCAGATACTCGGTTAAAAACCTCAACAGAAAGGCTCCAGTGTCAACCCCAGACTCTTACAGCTCATTATAGAAAACTCACTTCAGACGAGGACTCGAATCTTTCCTTAAATACTCAGAAGTCGACTGGTTCCAAATCGAATTCTTCTAAAGGCAACCAGATGACTCCACACCAAAAACCTACAGATAAAAAATCCTCACCCAGTAAGACACAAGCTACTGCGAGGAAGGATTACGATAACCCTCTCTTTGAATCCCAGCAACCTGATGGGAGCAAATCGGACAGTAAAGCAAAGAATCTTTCTGTTCAAATATGTCAGCCTTCAACACTTGTTCATCAACCATCAGACAAAACTTCCATTCCAAGTTCTACTGCTACAGAGACAACTCAAGGGAAGACAGAATCTCGAAATTACAGCCCAACTCTAGATACTGCCCGTCAAACAAAAGAAGCTTCTGAAGGTAGGAAAAGCGATTCTAATCGCCCACCCCAAGCTGAAAGTAAAATCTCTTCTCCAAAGTTAAATCGATTTACTAGTAAAAAGAGTAAAGACGATCTCACGAGCTCACTGCTGAAGGAAACTCCAAGTGCTAACAAAGATCAGTACCATCTCGTAAATGGCATTGTAAAGTCGCGCCTACTACACTTAAAGGATGAACTACAGCAGAAGCGATCTGGACAGATAAGTTCTGAACGGCCCCAACAACCATCACCACCACCACCGTCCAAAAAACAAGAACAGAAGGACACGAGTCCTCAGACTGCCAGCAAATTGCCTAGACTCAATCCGCCCAAGAAAACAACGCCTGAAAGTAAAGATAATTCAAAACGTAGTAAAGATGAGACGAAAGGGCAGGGTAAGACTTTGATTCCTGACAAACACAAACAGCGGGACAGTAAAAGCAGCAAACAGTTCAAGAAGAAATAGATGTTGATATTAATTTCCAACATAAAACACGCACCAATAATTTTTCCTACCGGGATTTTATGTGAGTCGGTTCATATACAGGGATCCATGTTCTGTTATTGGAGTTTTTTTAAGGTTTTGAAACGCTTCAAACTGACAAGTGGCCTTGGTTCTGAGTAAAGTACAACGTATTGTAAATGAGAACGTCTCTCTCTCTCTCTCTCTCTCTCTCTCTCTCTCTCTCTCTCTCTCTGTGTCTCTCTCTCTCTCTCTCTCTCTCTCTCTCTCTCTCTCTCTCTCTCTCTCTCTCTCTCTCTGTATATGTGTGTGTGTGCGCGCGTGCGTGTTTGAGTACGTTTATAGTGTATACAAAGCTCGTAGGACCTGAAAGCAGAACCGTCTAGGCCGACCAGCGTACAGGAGTTCCCTACAGCAACCACTCAAGGAATGAAATGTAAATGGTCGATAATATTAAACGTAGAAACAGATTAGCATAGAGCATCTATGCTCTTGAGCCCGCCCCCCCCCATACCCCCTCCCCAGGCAAGTCCCCAGTGGGTCCATGCCTTAAGACAGCCCTGCCTGAGAGGTCTCAGTTCTGTTTTAAATATAATAATGTCTTCTTCTTCTTCTTAGCGTTTACCGGCTGTAAACTCCGGTGAGAGAGTTCTGGTTGTTCGTCCATGTCTGGACGTCAGTTATGTAACAAAACTAGGGTTTTGCATGCCCATCTATTTTACAAGGCCTGGTTTACTTGTATCCAGGCTGTTCGTTGCTTGCCTGTCAGGCAGATGCACTCCGACTGTAAAGAAAATACCCCTAAAGATTAGGCTTTTACGACATGCTTGTAAGAAGCCAGTGGACCTGTTTTTTTTCCCCACCAACAATGGAGCTCTGGAACCCACACAAGGAGATAAGGATTTGATCACACTAGCACCAAGCTGGCCGCGTGCTCGTCCCTGAACTGCCTCGGCTCCCAAAGAAAATCTAACCATCTACATATCCTTGTCATATGACACACCACGAGGCGTAGAACATAATTCAACAGTCCATACAATTTCTGGAATCTGTATCATGCTACCGCGTTGAAATCCACATCGATCGACTGTTTATAATTAATACCACCATCGGAGGTCGACCCAGTCTCAAATGGGTACTGGGAAATTACCTAGGAAGTAAAGATGACCATTGTGATGTTTATACTGTATCCAACGACTTCCTGTTTATTTACAAAAAACATGGTCTAGCGCCCTATGCCGAAGTGTCAGGTGCGTGAAAAGGAAGCTACCTGTCCCAATACTTGCTTTGTTTGTGCATTGGATATTAATTTCCACATCCATTTTGCTATAATCGGTGAATGTTGTTGCCATATTTTTAAACGTTGGTTCCTGTTTAATACCTTTGAATGTTGAGTTATGTTGTGTTATATTATCACAATCGACGTCACTGCACATTGGACTTTCCCATGCGTGCTCAATCCCCTGACGCAGCAGCCACTCCAACGTACCCCTGCTTATTGGTGCCACAAGATGCTGGTCATGTCTCCTAACTCGGCCTCCAAGGAGGTATAGAAGTGCTTCACCACGCTTTACTCCCATGACCTTAAGTACTTTTTGTTTTTGTTTTTTTATGTAGCTTTATCGGTGTGTTTCTGTGTTGCCTGCTGATGTCCGCGGTTTTTGCCGCAAAAAATATTCTGCCACTTTTGATTGTCTTCTGGTAAAACTGTCCAGTTTTATGTTTATTCTTTTCCCCTCACAGGAAGTTTCACAGTACAAATATTAGGCTGGATCGATCTTGGAGGCAAGGCACAATTTTAAATTTGGGATCGAACCAATGAACACAATGCATACGTGTAAGCGAGCTAATCACTGCCCTACAACACCCAGTTTATTTTTTTTTTTTTATTTGAGGATTGGTTGGCCCAGTGGTAGAGCTGGGCTATCATCGGTAGACTCGGGTTTGGATCCTTTTTATTATCAGTGACCTCATTTTCTGTTGGTGTGAAAAACAAAAATTCACTGAAAACAAAGACGGACATGGTCTGGCCATTCACTGAGAATGAATTCAATGATGCAAGCACCAAGAGCCTACAGTATGCTAGTCAAAACACCACGAGGTAGGGGACCACCAAGAAGAATATAGTTTGGAGGAATCACTGATGAATGAATGAATGAGATTCAACCCCACCAGGACATCCACCAAGCGATAAAAAAAAAAAAAAAAAAAAAAAACAGAGGCTCAAAGTGCCACCATGCGGATGAGGATAACCCAGGAGAGGTCACAGTAACCCTTTTAAACCGTTAGCTTATATTGGGGCAAACTGATTTTTTTAATTTCCAACTCCTTTTAAGAAAAAAAAAAAAAAAATCAAAAAACTCAACCACGTTCAACCTGCTGCTAGTTAGCCGAAGCTGACAACAGCCTCCGACTATATCTGTGGTCTTGTTTATTTGTACCAATTTCGTAGCTAAGGTTCTAGTATCACTTGAGAGTGCACAACATCACAGCATAGCCGACGACCAAGCGGGCTCTAGATGCGCCACCGATAGTCTGTTAATCTGCTACAAAGAGCAGAATATGGACAAAAGAATGATAGAAAGAGGTCATTATAACTGCCCTAACCTGCGATGTGGCCCTACACACACAGATATGCTCTTTGATTCGAGTAATTGTGGGAAACGGTTAACGCTAACATTTATCGCCACAGCGCGATGTTGATATTATATTAAGCCTTCCCAGACAATTCGCATCTGTGGCTTAGACGTTGCGAACGCGCTTCCTAATGCCGGGTTCGATCCCAGCTGCAGACGGTTTTGTCTTGCGTTGGTTTCGACATAGGTCCAGAAAGCAACTGCAAACTACTGGACGTAAATTTGCCTTAGAAACCACAACACCCACAAATTGTTAGGGTTGGTTCTGCAACGTCCTATAAAGGATACGCAACTAGCTGACAAACAATTCAGACAAAATAAAAACATATAAGGGAAATAATTTCTGCGTAGCTCTCATCAGAACTAAAATAACGAATACTACATGTTGGTGTCCCCTTGTTTCCTATTTCTTTTACAAATTCTATTTGTGGAAAATAATTACTATTCCTTGAACATGTCTTGTGACAAATTATTCGGTCTTAACATATAATTTGCTGTTTAAGTTTCTAAAGGTAAGGGTGAATGGCTGTGTGGTTAATGGTTGTGTGTTTTCGTATGTAATGTATATTCCATGTATTATTATATGTTTATATGGTTGCAATTGCTCGGTATATGTATTTCAACCTTTTTTTTTTAATTGATTGTGTCCAGTTTGTATATGCCTTATCGTTTGGTCGCGTTATACTTGAAAACAAAAGATAGTTTCCAGTTTGACTGTTTTCCCTCAACGTCGTGGCTTAGGGGTTTCGAAAAGGGAGTTGGCAACTGCTGCTAAATCTTTTGCCATTAAGACAGAAACATAGACTGATCTAAATAGGCATATAGTATTCAGGCATGGTGCATCAGCCTGTCAGACAAGCGGTGGTTGCACCGGCAGAGAAACGGAGGCAGACAGAAAAGAACCTTGTGGCAAATCCAATCCCTACTGTGCTTCCATCGGCTGTCCGCACTGCTCAAGAACCTTTCAGGCTCAAACGGGACTGACTCTTTACGTATCTTCATACTCATAATCATTGATCATTATTTCTTATTGGATGCTGTCTTCGAAACCTTTAAAGGTTTTTATTGTCAACTGTCTCCTGCATGTGGGATGTAATTTTTCGTTATTTGAAGCCCTATCCTGGCTTTTGCCGGCGGCCCTGAATATAGCTGGGCCACAATTGTGGCCATAACGGTTGAAAGGGGTTTCGGGGACCTCTCCACGGGTGATACTCGTCCGCATCGTGGCACTTTATGTCACAAGCAAGCAGCAGCAAGCAACATTAGGTGTTATGAGCACAGAAGCACAATCACGAGTTGCCAAGGTTCGAAATGAGCTACAAGTGATTTAATACCAGATCACTTCACATTGTGTTGCGTTTAACAACGGTATGAGCGCCCTACGTTTCTGAAAGAAAAGGCAAACAGCTAAAATTGTGTGGTGACACCACACAACAGCCAACAAATGCCGAAGCTGGTTTGCCATGATTATGAACATACTACGAAAAGCCTGTTGCCAGAGAACTGGTAAGGCCTTATGCGATTAATTGCGTGTATAACTACTGATCTTCTGTAACTGCTGCTTTAATCGACATTAACTGCATTTCTAGTGTCGGACAATTTGTGTTGGCACTTCTGACAGTTGAGTTTTGCATTTAATTGGTGTTTCTGCTGTTGGCTTTGCTGAGACAACAGGACAAGAGACAGTGTTGGACATTCTCTGTGATTTTTGTTGGCACAGAAACGGAGCAACTGTGGGTTGACCCGTTTGCTATGAAGATGGAACTACGCAAACTTGATGATCTAATTATTTTTAGAGTTGCGTTAGGCATAGTGGCTAGATGCCTGCCAGCTGGTCCGGGAGTCTTAGGTTTAAATCTGCACCTTGGCTGCCAGGTCGACCCAGCTGGAAAATGGACATCAGGAAATGTCTTGAGGGTAGTCAAGGCGCTTGCTATGATGTTGACCCAGTCAGTCATCACTGGTTAAAAGCCCATAGAAAATGTATCAAGCACCATATACGCGAAGGAACAATAACATGAAAAAAAAGGTCTTTTGCTTACTTTACTTATTATTTTGTTTATGTTTCTTTCTGGTTTGTTTTTTTATTACTTTGTTGTAATAGATTATACATCTCAAGAGTCGTATGTAGCACATATGTTGTTCTATTTAATCTTTCAGTTTTTGTTCCCTTCATTTTTGTAATGCATAACACGTCTTGTTAGAGATTATACTTGACTGTCTTTATATCCTTACCACTATATCTAGTAGT